TGTGTGTGTGTGTGTAAAAAGAACATTACATAATAACCAATGTGAATTTATCCTAGGATTGCAAGGCTACAAGTCAAACTTTACAGTCTGCCAATCAGTAAAATAAAGCACGTAATAGTTCCTCTCATTTACTGCAGAAAAAGACATGATACACCTGTAATAAATCTTAGAGGGTTTTAGATCCTGATCTAGTAACTCATATAAGCTAACAACAACAACAAAGAAAATCTTGAAAGACAAATTTAGCGCATGTAACTACCAGATCTAGGTGGCCTGCTGGTAAGAATTTGTGCTACAATCTTAAAAGGCAAGAGGTTAGAATCCACGAGCGGCTCCGAGGGAGAAGGCTGGGCAATCACCTCCTGTGAAGATTGATCTGCTGCTATGGAAAACCTGATTAGCTAGGAGTTGGTTCTGACTCGACAGAACACAACAATAACATAGCAATTAAAATAGTGTAGCATTGATATAAAAATACAAACAGGTTGGAAAAGACCAGAAATATATCCACAAAACTTTAGTCTTGTGACAAAGCTGATACTGTTATGCAATAGTTTTAGAAAGCATGGACTTTTCAACACAAGGTGTTGAATCAGTTAGATGGAGAGAAAAATAAACCTTGTTCTGTTTTCAATCTGATCACTTACTCTTTAAGCAGTTAACAACTTTTTTTCATCTTTAACAGTTAAGGCACTTTCAAGATAAAAATTCAATACAATAGTTCATCTTCAAGAACAAGTCCAGTGTTTCCTCTTGTGGAGACATAGCGCTATCAATATGTATCTATTACTACACTGAACATTGCTTTAGAGTGATCATCATTTCTTCTGTTATCAGAAATTCTAAGCATAGGGTCTAATCTACATTAATGTTAATCTGTTGAATGCAATGCATCTCATATAGTTTTTCACAGCAAATGCATGTTTGAGTTCCTAGATTCATCTTAAAAGATACTATGGTGGGCTGTAGGCAAAAGTACGCACCTATACTCTTTAAGGTGTTCAAAATAAATTTCTTCACAGCACTGTTTTAGGAGTACATTCTCTCCTTGTACAGGAAACATCCTAGTGAAATTTAACAGTATATTTTCTAAAAATAGTCTGCTAAAAATTTTGTTCATAATTGTTCATGTGACATGCTTCTTATAAGTGTTACTAGGGAAATTTTTAGGTCTCAAGAGGCTAAAATGCTTTTTACTTTCTAGATAAATGACAATGTAAATTATACATTTCCCTTTTTATCTCTATCACCAAAACCTATATTAAAACTAATGGCCCAACTATTATATTTAGGTCTTGATTGTCCACATAGTTATATGAGGTTTTTCGTATTCTGTATTTGATTAATTGCAAATGTTTTCCTGTTTGTTTTTTGGGTTTTATTGTTTATTTTGCCCGGTAAAGGGTATGAAGAAGTCTTTGCCATTTTTTAACACATTCAAATTCTACATGTCTTACTATCATGCTTGAAGAAAAGTTTCTTCTCACCTGATTGGCTTGGCTTTGCAAGTAGACTCTTCTGGCATTCAGGTCTTCAAATGGAGGAGGTCTTGTATTTGAGCCTCTATAGGGCTCACTGGTAACAACTGTGTCTTGTTGGAAAAGGTGATCTTTTACTAGAGAACTGGAAGTGTCCTCTTCAGGTGCCTAATGGGAACACCAACCCCAATTAACTCATTAGTCATGAGAATGAAAAAACTACTAAATACATTTATGATACCTTTATGCAATTAGTATTTAGCAAATCCTTAAGTATATGCAAAGCACTATTCTGTGATGCTGGGGATCAAAAAGAGGAAGAATGTGGCCCATGACATTGGACAAAGATTAATTTCATTTACAGATTACTCAGAAGAATGAAATTCATGTACAAGAGACTTCAGTAAGAGAGATTTTCAATTAATGATAAAACACAAAACCAATTCTACTACCACTAAGACAATTCATTCTCATAGCAACACTCTAACAGGTTTTCAAAGCTGTAAATCTCTACAGGAGGAGACTGTCCATCTTTCTCCCAGAGGGCAGCTGGTGATCCAAGCCATTGGCTTCTTTCATTTTACAGTGAACATGCAATGTACCATACCACCAGAGCTCCTATCAAAGGCATTCATTAAAACTGTTTTCAGGGGGGTGAGGGGAAGGGACGTGGGAATTGTATACTAATGAAGGAATTTTGTTCTTTTTTTTTCTCTCTTTGGAGGGGGAAGCGAGCTGGTGGGGAGGGGTGGGAAGAGAGAAAACTGTGGCAATGAATGAATGGAAATCCAAAACCTCTGTAAAAAATAAATAAATAAATAAATAAATAATTATTTAAAAAAACCCCAAAACAAACTGTTTTCAAAACAATTTCTAGTAATTTATTAAATTCAGCAAATCCCCAAACATGAAGTTTTGAACAGTTGTTGTTTGCTATTACTTTCCTATTACGTTAGGGTAACTTTGGAAGAAATCGTGGCAGACAAATGATAATGATGGTGTACTTCTAGCGGCTCTTTTAAAATAATTCAGAGTACTCACTACAGGGCTAAATTGCATATTTCAACATAATGCAGATTTCTCCTTACAGTGCTAATAATTTTAAAGACATATAAGATCTTGATGGTATAGAATTAGCCAAGAGACATTAACTATGTACATTTTAATGCCTCCAAAAACCTGTTAAAGGATCAGCGACGAGATGTTTCTAATTCAAGGGTCAAGAGTTCTAATAACTATTGTGTTTCTTCTAACTATGAATGACATGGTTATTTTAAGCATCTAGCAAGATTATAATATATGTGAAATTACTCTGAAAAATACTATTTTGTACCAAAAAATAGAAAATTAAACATTTACAAAGTATTTGACATTTCATGACTGAAAAAGTATTATTATTTTTAGCTAAGTTTAATAAAAGTTGACCCAGTATATTATAGCAATTAATTTAAAATTGAGGAAGAATTGACTACACATTGATCTTTAGCAAATATTTTCAAAATGCATGAGCAAAACTAAAACCAGCTAAGAAAAAGTTCACAAAATACAACATATCCAGAGATTTTTAAAAACAAATGACTCTCAAAACAATTAAGAGATACCATCTCATCCCAGTAACAAATGCAAAGTTCAAAGAAGCAGTAAACAACAAATGCTGGCAAGGGATACTAGAACCTTTATTCATTGCTGGTGGGAGTGTAAGATGGTACAATCACTACGCAAAGTGGGTGGTCTGGTGCTTTCTCAAAAAGTTGGAAATAGAAATATAATTTGATCCAACAATTATCAGGAATATACCTTAAAGAAATCAGAGCTGCCACCCAAACAGATGTATACATACCCATGTTTATTGCTGCATTATTCACAATACAAAAGAGATGGAAGCAACCCAAGTACGTATCAACAAATGAATGGATAGAAAAATTATGGTATATTCACACAATGGAATACTACACAACACTGAAAAACAAGGAACTCATAAAATGTGATCCTAGTGGATATTATACAGAGTGAAATATCTGTTACAAAAGGACAAATACTATGTAATGCCACTGTTATAAAACAGGACTGATATGGGGGTTGGCGAAGTAACTAAACAAGAACAGATAAATAATGTATACTGCACTGGAACAGATGAAGGAAAGAACTATTTAAAAGGAATATATGATTAGGTATTATTTGTATGAAAACAGTTCAGAAAAAAAGGTGTACAGCAAGTGCACTGGGAGAGGAGTGGGAGGAAAGGGAGAAAATAATGAAACAATGAATGAATGAAAATCCAACTTTTCTGTAAATTTTTGTTAAAAATCACAATTTAAATAATAGAGTGGAAAAGGTAAAAAAAAACACCTAAAACAAAACAAATGACTCAAAAAATCATATTGTATCACAAACACTAAAAGAGATTTAGAGAAAGGGCTAGAATCTAGTCTCATCCAATTGTTCTTATGAGCTGTTGAGTTGCTTACAACTCATAACGACTTTAAGTACAAAGCCCTATATTCAGTCTATGCTTCTGCCAATCTTACTGTCTCCAACATATCTACCTACATTACCCTAGTCATAGAATCAATCTGTCTTATCAAGAGTCTTCCTCGTTTGTGCTGTCCCTTAACCCTCCCAAGCAGGACATCTCTCTCCAAGGACTCCTTGCAACATGTCCAAAGTATATCAGATGAAGCTTCAGAATCCTTGCCTCCAAGGAGCAGCCTGGTTTCATCCTCTCTAGGATAAACCTGTTTGTGCTTCTAGCAATCCATGGTATATTCAATACTCTTCTCCAGCACCACAGCTCGAAGGCATCAGTTCTCCTTCTAGCATCTCTAGTCACTGTCTAGCTTTCTGATGCATAGCAAGTAACTGCAAAGACCATGGCCTGAATCATGTGCACTTTAGTCTCCAAACTGAGACGCTGCTCTTCAGTACTTTGGAGAGGTCCCTGAATGCAGACTTTCCCCATATAATTTGTCTTTTCATTACCTGGCTGCTGGTACCAAGAGTGCTGACTGTGGAGCCAAGCAAACTAAAGCTGTCAACAATCTCGTTCTCTTCACCATTTATCATGATGCTGCCAATTGGCCCAGTAGTGAGAATCTTTGTTTTCTTGATGTTGGACTTCTCCTTGACCTTCTGAAGCAAGCACTTCAGGTCCACCTCAGTTTCAGCAAACAAAGTTGTATCAACTGTATAACGCAGATTGTTGATGAGTCTTCATCCAATTCTAATGCCACATTCTTCCTCATAGGGCCCAGACTCCCGGATAATCTGTCCCCCTATAAATTAAAAAGGTACGGAGATAGGACACGACCCTGGCGTACACCCTTCCCAATGTTGAACAATGCAGTGTTTTCTTCTCTGTTCTGGCGACTGCCTTCTGGTCTAAGCACAGGTTTTACATAAGCACTATCAAGAGTTCTGGGACTCCCATTCTTCTCAGAGTTATAGCCATAGTTTGTTGTGATTCACAAAGTTAAATGCCTTTGCATAGTTAATGAAACACAGAGAGACATTCCACTGGTACTGTTTTCAACCAAGATCCATCCAACATTAGCTATAATATTCTTAGTACCACAGCCTCTTCTAAACCCAGCTTGCACTTTTGGCATTTCTCTGCTGATGTGCTGTTCCAGTCATTTTTGGATACTTTTCCACAGAATCTTGCTTGTATTTGCTATTAATGATATTGCTTGATATTTCCACATTCTGTCAAGTCACCTTCTTTGGAATGGGAACAAATATAGATCTCTTCCAGTCAGTTGGCCAGGTGGTTATCCTCCAGATGTCTTGGCTCAACTTGCCAAAAGAAAAGAGATTTAGAGAAAGGGCTAGAATCCAGTCTCATCCAATTAAGAGTATAAAATTTAGATAATTTTCTCTGTAGTACCAGGAATAAATGATATACCAATTGACATATTTCAGCTAACAGATGTTGCCCTGGACGTGCTCACCAAGTTGTGCCAAGACATCTGGAGAACAACCACGTGGCCAACTGACTAGAAAAGATCTATTTTTGTTCCCATCCCAAAGAAGGGTGACCCAAAAGAGTGTGGAAACTATACAACAATATTATTTCACATGCAAGCAAGATTCTACTGAAGATTATCCAAAATGACTGGAACAGCACATCAGCAGAGAACAGCCAGAAGTCCAGGCTGGGTTTAGAAGGGGTCATAGTACTAGGGATATTGTAGCTAATGTCAGATGGATCTTAGCTGAAAGCAGGGAATACCAGAGGAATGTCTGTGTTTCATTGATTATGCAAAGGTGTTTGACTGTGTGGATCATAACAAACTGTGTCTGACTCTGAGAAGAATGGGAATCCCAGAACACTTGATCGTGCTAATGAGAAATCTATACTTGGACCAAGAGGTAGTCAAAGGAAAAGCAAGGAAACACTGCATGGTTCAAAATTGGTAAGGGAGTACGCCAGGGATGTGTCCTGTCTCCATACTTTTTCAACCTGTATGCAGAACAGATTATCCAGGAGGCTGGGTTTTATGAGGAGAAATGTAGGTCAAGATTGGTGGAAGATCTATCAACAATCTGCGTTATGCAGATGACACAATCCTGTTGCGGAAACTGAGGAGGACCTGAAGTGCTTGTTGCAGAGGGTCAAAGACTGCAGCCTCCAATATGGATTGAGGCTCAAAGTCAGTAAGATAAATTCTCACAACTGAACCAATTGGCTGCATCGGGATAGATGGGGAAGAGATTGAGATTGTTCACAGCTTTAGTTTGCTTGGCTCCACTGTCAACACTCTTGGCACCCGTAGCCAGGAAATTAAAAGACATATTATTGCCATGGGAAAGTGTGCTGTTAAGGACCTCTCCAAAGTACTGAAGAGCAACGGTATGTCTCTGGAGACTAAGGTGCATCTGATACAGGGCATGGTTTCTGCTATCACCTGTTATGCATCAGAGTGTTGGACAATGACTAAGGAGGACAGAAGAATTGATGCCTTTGAGCTATGATGTTGGAGAAGAGTATTGAGGGTACCATGGACTGCTAGGAAAACAAACAGATTCATCCTGGAAAGCGTTAAACCGGGCGGCTCCTTGGAGGCAAGGATTCTGAAGCTCTGTCTGACATACTTTGGACATGCTGTAAGGAGGGACTGGTCCTTGGAGAGGGACGTCATGCATGGGAGACAGGAGGGGAAGGCCCTCTA